CGGTGGAGTATTTCAAAATAAAACATCTGTCCGGCTCAGATTTAGTTGCAAAGATTCAGATGATTGAATGCGTTTATTTTGAAGTTCATATTTTAGTTTCTGTTGCTCTTTTTATTCGTCTTGACAATTTTAAATTGGCTTTTGTGCAAGGATAGGGAGCCTGAGTCTGGCACAGTACAGGCGTCACCCTGCAATGTTTATCAAATATATATATTGGATTTGAATGGACATAGTTTGAGCAGAATTGACGTTCCCTCTCCAGATCTCAGAGGTAGTCTGCGCACCTGTGTCTTTGCACAGGCAGTCCATGTAATTCAGAGGTCATCTTCCTCTGTTAGTTTTACTGTTAGGCTCTAATAAGACTGGTTTGGAAGCCTCATCATCCTGATGTCTGACAAAGTGGCCAGCCAACTTTACACACTTCTCATGAACTTTTGTCGATACTTTAGGCAATCTTCCATACAGCTTGTTGTTTGGCATGTGGTCACTCCAGATGTTCAGGGCCATACAGAACTGTCTCGTGTACGAGGTGTGTCAGAAAAGTTTCAGGACTGGTGTCACAAAAGATATATTTCAAATACAAACTACAAGTTTTTTCCCTTCAAAGTAATCCCCCTGGAGGCTAACACACTTTCCCAGCCTTCTCTGCCACGCCGCCATGCACTCCTGGAAGGATGCTTCCGGGATCCTCTGTAGCTCCGTCATCACAGCCATCTTGATGTCGTCCACGTCTTCAAAACGGGTCCCCTTGATGACCCCCTTGAGCTTGGGGAAGAGGAAAAAAATCCCACAGAGCCAGGTGAGTAGGGAGGTTGCTCCAGCACAGTGATGTTCTTCTCAGCCAGGAACTGTCGGATGCTCAGGGCATTGTGAGCAGGCGCGTTGTCATGGTGAAACAGTCACCACTTGTCCTGCCACAACTCTCACCTCTTCTCTTTGCACTAAACAAAGCAAATGCTGCAGGATCTCTTTGTACACATTCTGGTTGAGCGTCTGAAGGGGAAAACCCGAAGTTTGGGTTTGAAATATATCTTTTGTGACACCAGTCCTGGAGCTTTTCTGACACACCTCACATGTGCCAACAAGTGATTTTTCCTCAGCATCTGTAAGAGTCCACATATTGCATCAATACAACAGAACAATTTTGCAATGATGAGACAGATTTTGATATCAAGAATGCTTTTTAACTTGAGGCATGCTTTTCATACTAACACTTTTCTGACCTTTGATGTCTCATTTTGAAGAGCTTATCCACGATCCAAAGTACTTGAAGTCCTCAACCCACAAAATGAGCTTACCTTGTCTGGTGATTAGTTGTTGTCTGTGTTAACATTAAATGACATAGCCTCAGTCTTTTTGGCATTTAGATGCAAACCAATTTTGGCACAAGAATTTTCGACCCTGTTAAGCAGTTCCTGCCCCTGTGTAATTTCCTTCGTAATCAGGGCTGTGTCATCTGTAAAATCGAGATCTGTGATGACAACTGGTGCAACTCGCTCACTTCTCCTTTGCTGGACCTTGAAACCAAGTTCTTCACTTTTACCTTCCAGAGCCTGTCTCCTGGCAAAGCCGAGCACTAGTGCAAAGATATATGGGGCAAGGGTATCTCCTTGTAACACTCCAGCAACAATATCAAAAAGTTCTGTAAATCCGTCTGGAGATTTGACTCTGACCTTTGTGCCCTAATATATTTTTCCAATTGCATCACCCAGCTCATTGGGGATGCTGTATGCTGCTAGTATCTTGAGCATTTCACCTCTATGCACACTGTTGAACGCTTTTTTAAAGTCAGCAAAAGTTGTTGTGGCGTTCAGATTGTTGCTTTTAACACCTTCAATAAGACGTCTCAGGGAAAGGATTTGTGCTGTTATAGATCTCCCAGGCCTAAATCCATTTTCATTTAATTCTAAGATAAGAATCGAACACTGATTGTATATGATTCATGCTATTGATAAACTTGACTACAACTGCTGTCAGGAAAACAAAATATACATCAATGCATAAAAATCACATCATAGTTTATATTTGTAACCAAAGCAGCACTTGAACAGATCAGACATTTATTAAACTATCTGCACACACCAGCAACATCAGCCATGGATGGAAACTATTTTTGATAAATTTTCTGTCATAACATAAAGTGAATATATGGGTCCAGCTATCAGTGTTGTGTAACATAAACATAGACTGTAGACACAGTTTGATTATTTGATTTTTTCCCTCCTCCATTCTGTTGCTCAACACGGATTATCTCACATTTTGAAATGTATTCTGGGTTTTTGGTTTCTCAAATCCTTTCACAATCACAGTGAGATATTTTAAGTGTAAGCATCATTTATTGTAAGATTCATAAAAGATAAGAACTTGATTAATGCTGAAAGATTGCGCCAAATGTTGCTCCGGAAAAGAAAAAAATGTATGGTACGTTTAGTAAAAATACCTAAGCTCAAACAAAACTATAATAAAAGGGTAAGAAGAAGTCTTGGCAGACATATTGAGGTCAAAGAGCAATACTGTGCATGACAATGAAGTGTTGCAGTTGAAGTGTATTGCATGTGTGCAACATTTCATTATCATGCGCAATACTGTTACTTCATTGATGCGCTCGTTTACAAACAGCTTTTATTTCTATTTTCTGTCAGATCAGTTGTGAAAAACATGTTTCAGAGGCAGGATTTGACTCTATTGATTTATTTTATATATAATCCTCACTGTTATTGGAGGAACTAATGATTCATTTCTTGATGCAAAACCAAACTGTGTGTCTGCAGTTTGTTCTGCAAAGCAAAGAGTGGAGACATACCTCTAAAGTAGTCATTCAGATGCTGGCTATTGATTATAAAGCAGTGTGCGCGAAATACATAATCAAAATCCTTATATAAAATAATATATGTAAGACTTGCTTGCATAGATAGATTATGGGCTAAAAATCTGTACTCACCAGAAAGTCCTTGAAACAACAATTCAGTCTTTTACAATAAGAAAGGCTCTTCATTTGTCTTTAACTTAATTACAGTTGCTAAGTAACAGAGACCCAGTGTTCTATTTAATTTAATTCAATCTAATTCATTCAATACTTTTTTTTTTTCGTCTTTAATTTGTTATTTGGCACCGTATATCTCACTGAGCCTACTCTCAGTTCAGTGGTTACAAGTCCCCTGTTACTGATAGTAATCATGCTCATCTGTGCAAAGTGCTACAGCGCTCTGCAGCACCACTGGCCTGTGCAACAGTCTTTGTGATGTGCTTCATTGTCTTATTTGGCTTTCCTGGTCTTGCTGTTGCGGCTTACCATGCTCTCATGGATGCATTATGCTTTTGCACCATATGACAAGTTTTAACTAAGGCTGGCTCTAAAAAAAAAAAGTCTGCAGTTCCTTGAATGGCCACTAGAGGCTGGCTCCGAAAGTAAGTCAATCCCGATAGACCTCCATGTTAAAGTGTCTAACTCTGCAGCAGAAATAAACATATTTACAGCCTGGTACAAAAGCGTTTTTGGTCTCTGTAGCTCATTTCAACTGTACGGGAGGTTAATTTTTATATAACTCACCTGTTTCAGTTGTATTAAGGCTTAAAGTTACACATAATTATAGCAGTAGGTGAGTGTCATCACAGGATGGTCCATGGAAATGCAGTGTGAATCCTATTTTCAGCTGACAAGGACAGAGCTCATGCACACGAGTTTATTCAAGAGGTCAGACAAAGTAGTGGTACAGGGTGATACAAATTTACGGCAGTTTCTGTACGTACACAGTGTGATCAGGGAGTGTGCATCTGCAGCGTGGGCCGAGCTCATAGTTAGCAGGTACACACTGGCCTTCAAAAGTTTCTGTCCATGCCACAGTTTCTGATCGCTTTTAAGATAATATTAACCAAACTAGACAAAAAAAAAGTGCAAGTAGTGAAAAAAAAATGCCTCAATTACATGTTATATCTCTCAGTAGGAAAATACAGAGTTTATTTAAAGGCCAACAAGGTCATGATGGTCAATAAGATATTTAGCGAAGTAAAACCCTTATTTTTGTAAAACCTGGTGTCATTCTTTGCTAAATGTGGCAGTCTATGAGCTGGACCATAACAAAAGTAACTGTAGTAGTACGCTGCACCTGTAATTTCTGTCCCTAGTTTCCTCTATTCTTTAGTTTGTGCAATTTATTAACTGATAAACTAAGATTAGAAAATACTGCACTAATTTGTAGAACAGATAGTAGTCATATTTTTGCTGATTTAAAAATCTTAAATACTAGTGTAACTTTGCCGTTAAGAATTGTAAAAGTAATAGCAAGTAATGACAAATATCTGTGAAAATCTGATTTTATTTTATTTATTTGCTGTTTAAGTACAGTAAACAATTACATTTGTAAAATTGTAAAATTAATAAAATAATAATTAAAAATCTGTAATTGAACAAAAAACAGGGGCATTTATAAAATGGTTGTTAAAAAAATGTCTTCCCATTTTTTTCAATCCATAATACACATAATTTTGCTTTTAAATGAAGGGACATGTCTGGGAAATCATGCAGTCTTTGGCTTAAATAACTACAATCAAACAGTATAATTTTATGGGCACACATTGTACAAAAGCAAAATTTTTGATAGATTATTTTTTTCAAATAATGGCAAATATTTCTTAAAATAGCAAATAGTTTTGCTGATTTGAATACATAAAAAGAGAGTGCTTTTTTTTGTCAAATGTAAAAAACAAAATAAAATAAAAATTACAGCTTGTGAATACATAGTTTAAAGTTCTGGCCTGTGCTTTTTGTTTGTTTGTTTGTATTTTTTTTAACGGTTAGTAATTAAATGAATACGGTTTATTTTTCTGTGATTTTATGAAACAGGTCTCTGGAGACGCGCTTGCCTTGTATAAATGTTAATTCCCATCAGGAACACTGATGCAATAAGAAGCAGCAGAGCTCTACGAGGAACCTATGTGCCGAGTCGGTGGTGTTTTATTTTGAATGCATCGAGCGGAGCTGCTGTGCTGCTGACAGCTGCTCTCAACGTGAGAGGACGGAGCCGTCATGTCGCTGCGCTTCACCGAGGAGGACTTCCAGAGCGCCTGGAAGGAGCTGGACGAGCCGCAGCTGGACGGAGGATGGGAGCTCTTCACCGAGACGATGGGCGTCAAGATCTACCGGCTTTACGACAAGGTAGGAAATCTGAGGGTTAGTGTCGCTTCTGAGACCGGAAAGCTGATCCGCACTGAGGAGGCAGGAGTTTGAATGGGAGGAGGTTTCCTGTGCTGCCTGCAGCATCATCATCGCCATTATCACCGGTTTACACTCATATTCCTTCATCACCACGTGGCATTGTTATATTAAATATAATATATTTATTAGCATCAAACGCCAGCTACCTGCAGTGATGTCCTAGCGGCCAGCGTGGGAAAGATCCGGAAACTGAGCGTTTTTTTTTTGACTGGTAAACCGGCTGTACCGGTCCAACCAGACTCCATTCAGAAATCTGTCAGTTTAACGTCGCCTCATCTTGTCGCGCCTCTGCACATCTTAAATACTGATGGAATAAATTAATGTGCTCAGAAAGATACAGTCTTCACTCCGGCACACACAGTTAGGAAAATATCACTAAATATGACAATTACCTTGACTTGGCCTAATATCAAAATAAACACTGAACGTTTTCTAATCGATTTTAACTGTATTTGTTTAAACAATTCAGTTAATCAGTCATGTTTTACGGATTTTCCTGGTTTAGTTAAATTCCACATAATAACTGGTTAAATCACAGGGGGAAAAGTATTTATTTACATGCTACCAGTAAAAAAAAAAAAGAAAAGAAAATATTATAAATTAAATTAAACTATTTGTATTGTATTTAAATCAGCTAAATATCATATTATTACTTTTCAGATATTTTCTGTGATTTGAAAGAAAATATATATTAAGACTGAAAATTTTGGATTTGAAAAAACTGCTATATTGCAGATTTTGCCTGTTTTGGTAAGTTAAAGATAATAATTAACAAAAAGACAGAATTAAAGTGTTTATTTACAAAACAACAATAACAACACACAACAAAAACAGGCCAAGGCAAAGCAAAAAAGTGAATAATCTGAAATAAAAAATCATCAAAAACCTGTATTTTTACAATGTGGGACCATAAAATTACACTGTTGTACTGTAAATAAACTGGATAAATCTAATTATTGTACAGATATCTGCCATCATTTTCACAGTTTTTACAGTTTTTAGATGTTGCAGTATTCAACCATTTTAACTGTTTTTTTTTGACAGTCTTGCTGGCAGATTTGAATTCTTTTTTAAAAAAATAATTTTTATTATTATTATAATGGTTCTTATTATTTTACAGTGTATATATAACTTACATGCACATGAATAACATGTATTGTTTTTGTCATCTTATTTACTTTCTTTATTCCATTCTAATACATTGTTTTTCTTTTAATTTTTTGGTTTTAGCCACAAAAATGGTGACAGCTCCCTATTGTGCATTTTTGCAAATAGAATAAAGGTTACACAAATCAGCAACTGTGTTATAAGGGCTCTGTAGGAAAACTTAGGCTAGATCTGACTAATCTGCATATGCTGAGTTGTAATATAGACCAGATCTAAAAATATATATATATTGAAAAAAGGCAATGAAATCTCCCTTTTATTGCATTTTTATAAATGAAATAAAATAAAATAAAATTCCTGTTTCACTGGCAACAGTTTTATATCTTAAATAAACCTCCTCAGTTTGTGAGATTTATAGAACATGTTCATCAAAATCACTAGATCATATTTTTACCTTCATCCAAAACAGTCTTTTTAGGTTTGACACCCAATGCTAAACAGCTCTTTGTGTTAATGGAGTTTGTAAAGACTTAAAATCCACACATGGTATGACTGGTTTTTAGGTCTATTACATGCACTGTTTAAAACTGAGTGGTTATGAAGCATATCAGACTTGCCTTTGAACTTTTAAATCAAATGTAACACAAAGGGTGTTGTGCTGACTGGCTCTAATCAGAGTTGTGTGGTTTGGGATTAGTTACACAGTGTGGGTGTGGCCTGCAGTTGGAAGACACGACTTTCATGTGCTGTTTGCAGGAAACTGGTCTTTACGAGTACAAAGTCTTTGGTGCGCTCAACACCTGCACTGCAGAGCTGTGCGCAGATGTCTACATGGACTTGACGTATCGGAAACACTGGGACGAATATGTGAAAGGTAAAAAACAAAAGGACTAAACCCAGTAAGGCAAAGTTCACACTCACTTTCTTTGCCATCCAAATCAATGTTCCCTCTCCTCCCTATTGCCAAAGCATCAGTCTTTACATTCATGTTTTCTACTTAGTTGCTGACATTCACTTCCTCTGATAAACGACTTGTGTTTTTAGGCTGGTCTTTAAATAATGTCCTGTACGTAACTTGTTAATTCTCTTATCCTTGTTTTCATGCACATCATCAGTAACCAGCAGGTAATATGTTGTAGCTCCAGTCTGTAGTCACATAACTGAAACAATCCACGTGTACTAGCTGGCATTTTAGATGTAACATGATTTTAGTGGTAGTTTAAGTAGCTTTCCCCCTTCGTTGTCGTATGATTTTTGGAGTAGTCATGTGGTCTGTGGTGGTAGCAGAGTTGATTTGATGTCTTCCGTTTCAGGAAATATCTGTGAGTTTTATTTCCTCCTGTTTGTTCCCCATCCAGGTGGTTTTATGACAGTTGTGGCCCAAATAACAACTGATAAGAGTTTAGAGTCCAGACAACGGTCTTTGCTGGGAGCAATTATTAAAGTGTGACAGTATTGGACATCGATATAGATGCTATCAACAATAACTAGACTGAAGGTATTGTAAAAGTAAATTAGTACAGTTGTGAGGAAACTAAAAGAAAAGAAAAAGTGAACTGTTATAATGCAAGAAAATGTTAGAAGTTAAAGATCCACATGTAACGATCTGCAGGGATTATGATTTTTTCTGACAGATATTGCAGGTTGATTTGTGGTGTATTTTTTGAAGTTAAGCTTGAGTTCAATATTCACTGTGAAATAGATTTAAGAAGTGATCAGATAACATTTGTTGTCTGGCTCAGACGTGCTGCATATCATACATCCTGGTTTCCTGTTTTTGCGATTTGCCGATCAAATTTTGATTTGTTGTTGAATAACCATTCAGCCCTATATTCTAATACATGTTTTAGCATTACACAGCTGTGACTTACTTAAAGTCAGGATGGAGGAAGTTTTTTAAAAAATTGGTCAAAATCAGTGCAGCAGAACCAGCGATATCTTTGCTTCATTTTCATTCCATGTCCTCCTTGTCAGGATTTAAGGATTATGTAGGAAAAATGAATGTTTTTCACAGTTTTTGCCAGACATGTAAAATTTTTAAATTACAGATAATAACTAACAAAATCACAGAAAAATGTTTTAATTTGACTGTGAAATGACATTATTGTTACTGTATTTTTTATATTTTATATTTTTATATTTTATATTCTATATTTTTTTCCCCCAGAGATAATTGCAGATATTTTCACTTTTTTAAAAGTTTTTATAGAGTGCATTATCCACATTGCAACTCAGTAGTTGTTGATTTGGGTACGTTAACTGAGCCCACAAGTGTAAAAGTAGCAGAAATACTTGATGAAGAAATCAACAGTCATGAAGCAGAAAAAAATTTAAAAATCGTAGTACGACACTTTTCTAGTGTTTTCTCACACATTACTCACTATTCTGATAAAATGAGCCATGCCTGTAGTGGTTGGTTTTAACAACAACATGTTGACTGCTAGTAGCACAATAGTACGACACTAAGCTAATACGAGAGCTGTGTTAAAAATCAACTCCTTGTTCATTCATTCCCCTCAATAGGTGAGTCACAGTGTGCAGTTTTGTGTCTTCACCATCAGCTGTTGGGTCACTTAATGTTCATTTT